AATGAAATAGGAGAAACCACTTGTGTCTGAAAACTGTGGATATACTGTTATTTCTCAATAAAAACTCAAACAGTTACACAAGCACACCCACTGCCCTGTTCTTCAAGCACACCCTCTTTACCCACATACCCAGGAACCTTTTTACCAATGAACCCCAAAACACACCTTACCAAGGTCCATACTATAATCTGTATTTGCACCAGTCCCATGTGAAAATGACATCTGTCTGAATTTGTAGAGCACATCTCATGAATGTTGCAGCACCATTTAAATGTTTTAACACAAAATATAAGTGAGGAGTATATAGGGTTACAGTCAGACGTGCCACATAAGAAACATGGTCTTCAACATGAGTTCATGTTTATTTTATATTTTATTATGTCAGCTTGAAACCATACAACCATGTAGTGTAGTCGAACAGGAATATGCATGGAGAATCAAATCCCAATCCATGAACCAATAAGCAACACGTCTTGACCGCACTTCAATTTCTTGACCACTAGATGTCCTACTGGAGCACTGTGTCATTGAAGCCTCGAGTAATGAACCATTTGTGTGAATGCTGTATCGAAGCTTCAACAAAGCCTCATCAGCCATCACTGGGTGTAGCGAGGATCTAACAACTGGCAGATAAAATAGTCCAGGAGGAAACATAGAAACAAAAACGTACAATACGCATGATGAACAAGGAATGGGAAATAAGTAGCGTGACTAGTTGGCCTGAAAGTAGAGAATGAACTAGCAGGGGAGAGGCGCGTGAGCTGGATATAAATACGGTGGGGAATTAAGTGGACGCAGCTGGAGTTAATCAGTGATTGAGTGGAATGTGTATCCTGAGGAGTGAGACGTGGCCGGAAAGTGAGAGAGGGAGACGAGAGAGGCAGGTGCAGCCAGGCAAGCCTGACAACACACACACCACATTGTTTAATGCCTGTTTATTCTGTTTTATTTTGCCTTGTTTGCACTGTTTGTTGCTTTTTAATACTGGTTATTTTGTTATACTACACAGCCTTATATTGGTTTACTGTTTAATTCCCCCTTGCATGGAGATATGTATATGCACATGGACAGCTGATGTACCAGAGTCAAATTCCTTGTGTGTCTGACACACCTGGCCAATAAAGCAGATTCTGATTCTGATTGTAAATTGTTGCTGTATCAGTGTATGTTTGTGTGTTAGTTCATCCCTAGTGGAGCTGGAGAGAGGGATCAAAGGTTTAGTGGTGATGTCACCCAGACAAAGTGAATTCGTAGGTTGGAGGATGGACAAGTAAGTAGACAATTATTACTCTTAAATGAACATTAATACAGCCTTCTCCTAATGAAACTGCTAAGCTGTGAACTTCATAAAATACATGTTAATATCTTTATCGACTATTTACCAGCGTTAGTTACCAAGAGACAGTTAAGTTATTTAATGCTTATTATTGTATTTAACTTTTAGTTCATGCTTATTACTGTATCAACTAATGGTAGCATTAAATAATGTATGAGTTAATACTTTAACATGAAACACATTAGTAAATGATTAATAAATGCATTAGTTACCTATTAGTTAATGCTTATTGCTGCATTAATTAATAATAATTATTTAATATACTGTTATTGTAAAGTGTTACCGTTTGTTTTTACCTTTATCGGTGCACTTCATCATGCATATTTATTCAGCTCCACACAGCAAATCAATTCCTGGTCCAGTTAGTCTTACTAGGAATGCAAAAAGTCCATATAGATATATATTCAATTCCCTAAAGTGTTTTCTAAGATTTCTGTCTTTTTGTTAACAGGTGGCTGGATAAGCAGTAGGTGTGCAACACCTCTGGAGCCCAGACCTTTGAGAGCCCTAGAGAGCCCATATGTGCAGGCAGATTGTTGGTGCTCATTTGATTAAACTAACTGCAAATTTGTTTACTGAATATACTATCATATTCAATGGTAGGGGCCTTAAGACAGGCCCCACATTGTTATCTGCCTTATCTATTTGTCTTTTTTTTTAGATTCTTGTATTAAAATTTACATGGTGTATATTCCAAAATAGATTTGTGTTTTCCCAAATTACTACAAATAGGAGTCAATAAGGGTCCCGCAATTTGTATTTATTTGTTTATTTATTTATATATTACCTCTGGGCCCCAATGGATACACATGCAACCTTTTAAATGACACGGCCAGGTTATTTAATGTGTCTCTACATGCTGGACAGTAGAAAAGGTAAGGAATGACCAGCAGGAGGTGTAAACGTACAGTGAAGTCAATAGTAGAACAGGACCATAGACTAGATCATAGAGGAGTTGTCTACATAACTGTATCCATTTAAAAAGGTTACACTGGTTACTGTAACCAACAACTAAAATATAATAACATTTTACAATTAGGCTACAAGTTACCATCACATGCCTTTTCTTAGCCTATATAACGAAACTGGTGACAAATTAAATTAAGAACAAAAATACACACATAATTCATTTTTCTCAAAAAATGTGTATATTTTCAATAGGAGTACATAAACCCCTCCACCTCCACTAACATCCGTCCATAGTCAAGGTCTCATGTTGTATACTTTCAGTAGACGTATATGTACTGGACGACATCCGTGGTCAACGTAAATCTATTTAAAGTGTAGAAATACAGTGTAGGGTAATTAGGTAACGGACCAGCTTTTGCTGTAAGCCTGCCCACAGATGACTCGTAATGCAGTGCTCTCCACACACACTCATACACCAGCCTCTGCATTCCGTGGTACCCCGACTGTCACTGGTCAACTAACACGTTCATCATAATTTCCCAGCCCAATCTTGTGTGTGATTGGCTGCAGGGACACCTACGGCGGTACCACAAGCGCTATTGGTTGAAAAACTAGGTTAGTGGTCCGACAGGCATGACGGTGAAGAGAAACTGGGTCACTGACTGAAATTCGTTTATGTCACAGTTATGTGGGTTGCTGTTACATATTACCCAGCGGCTTTCAATGGCTAGACTAATCTCACCGGATCTGTTGTAAGTATACATTGAGAACAGGCCTGTGGGTTTTCGATATTGCATCTTGCTGTGCGTTAATTCATGATGGATATCGTCGATGTTTTCCAAGCGCCGTGGTCATGTCAGTGTGGTTTTCTAGAGCAGGAGGAGGGACGTTAGCTCGCTGGCCAAGTCTTGACACTCAGCTAGCGTTCCTTCGCTAGCAGCTGTATGCTATATTAGTCAATAAGACTAAAGATTGTTACGGATAAAGGTGGAAGACACAGCCCGCGGTATGGCATTTTAGCTTTAACTGTTGTCAGTAATCACGGGGGCTGTTAGTAACGTCGCGCATAGGTACGTGCGTGTCAATAGGCTTCTTAAATGTTACCTAAACGTGACCTAAGTGCGAGCGACTAAGTGAGCAATGCTACCTAATGCTAGCACTGTAGCTATGTAAACAGGCCTTGGTGGGTATCTTGAACATGGTTTCTTCAGCAGCATCCACACTGCTTCGATAACTTCGGAGCCCCTGTCGCATATGTTTTGGAGCGTGTGGTGGCAGCCCATGCTGAACTGTTTCGAAACAGGCTTATGGTTGGTTATGAAATATCATGACAAGACTGTTGGCATTGGAAGTGTGGCGACTGCTCGGGATCTGCAGGCTCCGCAGTGGTTGCCAAAAGATGACCATGGTATTGGGATGTGAGATTTGGTTACAGTGCTACAGGCACAGGCACTGTGCTTTGTTGAAGGATTAGCAACAGGGGATCCCAAACTTGAGTTCAGTGAGCAAGTGTTTTTTTTATGAGGAGGGTTCCTGGAGGTACCCAGCAGAATGAAGAATAGTTTTTTTTTCATTGTTACCTAATCTCCTGACTCATACGTAGCCACATCAGTCCTCAGAGATGGGATCCCCCCGTTTTTTCTTAAGGACAGTCTTCTTCAATAGGGGGATTGTGGTCTGTTGTGAATCTATTTGGGGATCCTTAATGTGAAACATTCTGGCTGTTTATTTTTCTGTTTGCTTTATTTGAGTTGCCTTTTATATTGTCTGGATTGTTATATGTGTGACTTACTTTGCAAGGTATGTGTAATTTCTATTAAAGACTTAATCATAAGTTTGCCTCTACAGCAATGTAATCAGTGTATTAACCTTGTCATGACAGGAAAGATGTCCACTGTGAACTTCAGACTTGGACTAGGAAATGTTTTTATTTTTACTAGTAGACCGGTAGCAACCTACATTAGTCCTTATTAGTCTTGTTGCGTGGCATTTTGATAATGGAAGTTCATTTTGATGGTTCAGCATTGCTGTAGTGAACCATCCAGTTCATCGAGAAGACAAGACCATTTGGAAAAAGGATGGTCCCTGTGAGTTTTTCTGGTATCATAATGGCTACATTATGGATACAAGAAATGTTTTTTTGTATCTCAGAAAATTTGCCACATATTTTGTGTGTGTGTTTGTTTGCTTTTAACAGTGCTGTTTGCATTGCTCAGCTTAGTGATTTTCTTGATTGGCTGCCAGCCATTGTAATGAGCAGGGGTGGTTTTATTATTAAAAGCTTCCAAAAAAACAAAAAACAAAAAACCCTTGAACTTTATATGAAAGTGTTATTTAAAGAGTAGGCACTGGCTGTTTCTGAAGAAGAACCCAGGCGCTTGGGTCATAAATGTATACAAAGGCAAGTAACTGATTCTAGCTGATAAGACTTTCACATGTTGATGTTTGGTGTATGGGAGGCTACCAAAGTCAGTGTTGTTAAAAGCAGGCAGGATAGGAAATGGCATGTACAGGGTTCTAATAAATAGAAACAGTGGGAGCTAGACATGGCTAGCAGGCTTAGCAACAGGATTGAAATTTTGAACGTATAACTTAAGTCACATTGAACTTGCACAATAGAACTTGATAAGTCCCCTTCCTTGGTGAAATGAATGGGGAACAAATGTTAGTATGTCTGGCCCTTTTATAATAATTGTGCAGTTTGCACTGCTCTTCCAGGAGAGTCAGAGATGTGTCAAATAAGCACAGTCTGTACATGTCCTCAAAGTCGTGAGACGGCATCTGGTCAAGGAGGATCAGTGACAGCACCTATGGTTTTGTATCTTGGATTGATAGGATCATTTGTTATTCACCTAATGGCCAAAATAAAACTGAGAACAATTGTGAAAGAAAAGTTTGATATTTTATTTGTTTGCATGTTTGCTGCAAGTGTGATGAGAAGATGACTAGGATCAGCAGTTTTATTGCGAACATGTTGGCCTGTCATCCGGTCTTGGCAACAAATGTTTACATTAATTGCTGTTTTTAGACAAAAAAATCAGGATTAAACAAAGGCGATAATGTGTCGGCTTTAGAGGTACCGTTTTTGTGCTGAGCTGATAGTTGACTTCTGGCTCCAGCTCCATTACTGTACAGAAGTGAGAGTGGTATCAATCCTATGTCTATCTCTCAGGAAGAAAACAAATGTGTGTATTTCCCAAACTGTCAAACTCTTCTTTTAGGTCTTATAGTAAACATATGGGCATATACATATGATCAATCGTCTGGATTGTCTGCTGCTTGTAACATTTTCTTGATGAAAGCTTTGGTGGGTCTCAGGGTCTCAGCGTCTCACGACCTGATGGTCTGCAGCGTCCACAGTTTGATTTCCAGCTGGGGACCTTTGTTGCATGTCATATCTCTCTGCACTGCCTCTCGTCTCTCTCTAGACTTATCTACTCTGATAAATGCAGAAATGCCAGAAAACCAGTATTAAAATATTTGGTGGGTTGTTCTTGCAAGAGATGACAACAATAGCAGCCGAGGTGAGCTTGTTAGATGAAGAGCTACAGGAGATGTGCTTTGTTCAGTTTGCATGAACGCAAAATGGTCATCATCGAGAGTATACGACACCTTCAACTGTGCCGTCCCTTTCAAATAGAATTCCACCAGCTCTGAGTCTGCTTCAGAGGCTCTGACCACAGTGGCACTGGCACAAGTATCTGTAGTGGAACATTTGGGACATTTAGCATAAACCCAACATATGAATCAAATGGATTGCATGCCATCTGTGCCAACTGTTTAAAATATTTTACGTGCTGAAATTCCTAATTTTGGCTAATAAGAGATCAACCAGTCACAGAAATAATCATTAATATCCCCAGTTAAAACATTTAATTTAGCGCTTATTTTTACAGATGAAACTGCTTTCTAAGAAGATATGAATTCAAACCAGCATAATCTCTGCAGCACATCAAGTTCTGTTGTGGTATTTTCCCTGCTCCTGTGTAGTCTGTAACAACTGTATTCAGCTTCATCATTAAAAACACACCACCGTAAAAGTAGTGTATCTATGCCTTCATCCAGGAAAACAGTTGAAACTACCTTCCAGGATGGGTGAACATCACTGTGAATAATGATAAGAGACCTGCCAAGGCAAACAAGCTAGGTATATTGGCATGATGTCTAATACCTGATAAGAGGTGTTGAATATCATAATTATTGGCCTTGGGCAGACAGATCAAACACACTGGGAAGCCTGCTAAACACAGGTCTGTTGCACTGGAAAAAACTGTCTCAAGAAACTGCAACAGTGCTGCTCCGCAGGCTGTGCTTTTTTCCTGTGTCACTGGTAGTGTTGTCACGATACCAACATTTTGGTACCGGTACCGGTACCAAAATATATTTCGATACTTTTGGATAGTTTTTCAGATAAAAAGAGAACGCAAAAAATGTCATTACTGACTTTATTTTAATAGAAAATCTTAGAATAACATCAAAATAAAATTCAAAATACTAGGTTTTTCTTATTGCACTAAAAAATTTTTTTTTAGAACAGTCAGTGTGAGTAAATAAAAAGTATGAAGTTAGAAGTTCTAACTTAGAAAAAAATATTTTCATTACATATAGCCTGTCTTAAGTAGGACCAATGTTTTTAAATGGTATGTTACCAGTCTTTATAACATATTAAATGGCTAAATATGTATGTAAAACACTGAACGACTGTGCTGTAACCACATTTAACATTTTGAAAAAACACATTTTTTTATTAAAATTTAGAAAAAAAAATATGTTTGATAAGAACTCTTTATGATGTGTTGCACACTTAAAACTATTGAACTATTGCATTTGAAAAGGGCACATGTCATGAGTAAATTACCTGTCGTTCCCTGAACTCAGTGTGCAGGTCTGGGTGTTTCCGCCCTTAGCCATGCATGTTTTAAAACATCGTTTACACAATGGCGCATCAACGTTAAATGCCTCTCCTTGCTCATTTGTTTTTATGCCGAAGTACTGCCATATAGCACTTCGCGCCCCTCGTTTGTCCACAAGTTGCGGGGTGGTGACTGTTACAGCAGCCATTCTCCTCTCCGTGCTCCTCTCTCTCTCTCTCTCTCTCGCTCTCTCCCTCTCCAACGTCTCTGCTCTCTCCAAGCTTTCCTTCTGCTCCGTTTGTTGCTCCAGTCCACGCTGCTCAGTGAGCAGAGGACGAGGAAGCTGTTTCCTGCTCTGTTTTCCTCTGTTGCGGGCGGGCGCTGCAAGTACCGGTCCCATCCAAATGCAGTATAGTACCATTTTAAATGCCTCAGTACCGCGGTACCATACTAGTACCGGTATATCGTGCAACACTAGTCACTGGACAGGTGACCTGCAGTGGTTTGACTTGAGTGATCATTTTTGTGTGTGTGCATGTGTTTTAAAAGCTCACACTGTTGTTAGTTGTAAAACTCTGTGAGAATGAAAGCAGTACAGTGAGCAAATGTAGTAAATAAGTATTTTCCATTATCAAGTTCTTACCCATCCGAGGTAGTGTATGTCCAGACAGGTGCAACAGCATTTCATTTAATCCAATTCCTATTAGGTGGAATTAATTGACTCACGTACTATGCAGTGATTCCTAGCATCTCTCTAGCCAAGTTCAACCGGACTAGAGCTGTAATTACAAATTGTGGGTGTGCAGGGACTTCAGGTTATTCAGACATCAGGATAGATACATAGATACTTAATTGATCCCAAAGGAAATTAAGGTATCCAGTAACAAAAACAATGCCTACTAAAATCATAGCACCCAAAGTAAAGAAATATAGAAAAGTGTAAGACTAAAATACAAGGGGGAAAAAAGTATTTAAAAAAAAAAAATACGAGAAATAAGTGTGAAAATAAGATTATGGGAAATAGAGTAACGTGCCAGGTGTACAGTATAAATAGGGTATACATAATAAGTAAATGTGCATGGGGTACCTGTGGTACAATGCCAGTATGTGCAGGATTGAACACTGTGCAAGAATGAACATTATGTGCAAAGGTAAAAACAAGGGTAAACAGTGTGCAGTGCAGTAGTATAGTGTCAGAGTGAAGTGGGATCATAATATCATGGAGCTCTGTAGTGACATCACATGTCCATGTCCAAAAGTCAGATCAGACCTCCTCACTGGGAGGAGTGCATCTTTGTTGGTGGACCAGTTTAGTTTGTCATCCATTTGCAGTCCTGGGCATTTGTAGGTCTGGTCTCTCAGTAGCAAAACGGTTAACTGGTTAGCTCTCCCCACATCCCCTTCCATTGTGGTCCCCTGTTTTGTACTGCAGGCTATGATGGTCGTCATGCCATCCCAAACCTCCTTCATTTTGTTGTCCCACAGCTTCTGCTCCACCTTTCTCCTGTAGTTGTCCTATGCCTCTATCAGTCGGACTTTGAGTTTCCTCTGCATGTCCTTTGGCTCAACCTGGTCTCCATCCTTAAATGCCTTCTTCTTGTTGTTAAGGAGGTCCTTATGTTGCAGGTAATCCAGGGCTTGTTATTAATGAAGCAGCACACAGTTCTGGTGGGAACAACAACATCCATACAGAAGTTGATGTAGTCTGTGATGCAGTTAGTGATCCCCTCAGTGTCTTCACCGCCTGTCTCCTGCAGCACTACCCAGTCAGTAGACTGAAAGCAGTCCCTCAGAGCTTCCTCAGCCTCAGGAGACCACTTCCTGAAGGAGTGTGCCTGTCTACCTGTGACGCTGGAGCAGAACCAGCTTCTGGTCTGATTTCCCCATTGGTGGCAGAGGAGTGACACTGTATGCATCCTTCACATTAGCATACAGGAGGTCAATAGTCCTATTTCCTCTGGTTGGACAGTCCACATGCTGGAAAAATGCAGACAGTGGAGAGTCTAGTGTTCTGGTTGGACAGTCCACATACTGGAAACATGCAGACAGTGGAGAGTCTAGTGAGACATGATTGAAGTTTCCTTAGATCAACATAAAGGCAGTTTGGTGCTGCATCTGCAGTCTCGCAATAGTTGAGTGGATGACGTCACACAATGCTTCCACATTGGCCGTGGGACACACAGAGAACAATGATGTGCGAAACCTCTCTGGGCATGTAGTAAGGCCGGAGACTCATGACTAAAGGTTCAGTGCCCCAACAGCAGATAGTCACCTGCACAGTTACATGGCCAGGGTTACATCAGTCCTCCACCTTTGCGTTTCCTACTCACCTTGGTGTCTCTGTCCACTCTGACTGTAGTAAAGCCGGGTAGATTGACATTAGCATCTGGGGTGCTAGTGATTAGCCATGTCTCAGTGAAGCAAAGCAAACTACACTCCCTGTGGATCCTCATGTTCTTCACCAGTGCAGCTAGTTCATCTGTCTTTTTGGCCAGTGAATTAACATTACCCATAACCACTGACAAAACTGAGGGTTTGTCCCTCCACAACTTTGCCAAGCACCTAGCCTTTAGCTTAAAGCCAACTCTGCAGCCTCTCTATGGCTGCCTCACCTGCTGGGGTATGTGGGGAATCTCACTGGCATGGGATGTTTTGAAGATGACTGACTAATGACTGACTGCAGAAATGGGTGATAATTGTTTGTGGGTTTATTACTATGAGTGACAGATCACTATGGTTGAATATCATTCCAGAGTGTTCAATACGGACACCTTGACATCTGTACTGGTTCCTAAATGATACTTTTTGTGATATTGATTTTAACAGAAATATATTAGACATTTTGGTACAGATCATTAGATATTTTTTTCGGTTCCTTGGTATTTTTGTGGACTCAAAGGAGTTGTATAACATAAAAAGTAAACCTATTTACCACAACCTTAAGCTCTGTTAACATTTACATAAATAAAAATTTAGAAAAGCATTTTTCGATGTGCTGGTATTAAAGTAATTTGATTGATGCCATAAACGTTTTGAAGTTCCCAGCACTACAGCTCACTGATCCATTGTTCATATTAGAGTTGCTCAGCACAAATGTATGCAAAACCTGCATCGAGCCAATTTCAAGTTAAAACCATGATCTGATGAGTTATTAGTTCAAATTCACATATTTGCTTGCTTTTCTTGATTTCTTCATTACACAATGAACATTTGGTTTTTTTAGTTGTACACCTTTAAACCTAAATATTGATTAAACTGCTGAGTCTATAAAGGCTGGAAGAGTGAAAACATGGCTCCACCAGGAAAATTTCATAAGCTAAGAGGCAGACTGAGCCAAAGTAATGTGTCTTAATGTGCACTCTCTATCAGCACTGATTAATGGCTATGCTGCACAGCACTTGAAATTAGTTTTAATGATCCAGAGTCATAACCTAATCAGGTGAAGTGGCTTGTGACCATGTGTGCTTTATCACAGAAAGTGTTTTCAAAAAATTTTGGTCAGTCAGAAAATCCCACAAGCTTGAACCCCTCTCACCACCACAAACTCTTATTTATTTCACAACATCTTCTACTTATTCATAACATTTTGAGACACAGATGTCCATAAAATCTTCACTGATTAGGGCGGAAGTGTTCAAGGTTTGGGAGATTGTGAGGCTAACTTGCTTCCTGGATTTTTCCCAGGTTTAAGAATAGGCTTGTTGACTGCTTCCTGACTGAGTGGGTGTACAGTGAACAGGGAAGCAAAGATGAATGGCGTGCTGACTCACTGATGAAATGGATGTAGGTGGCAGATGGAAATTGAGGCTTGCTGGTTTGAGACCATAGAGACTGGCTGACCCAGTTTCCACCCCAGCACCAGTTTTTTTTTCCGTTCTTTTCAGTGTTCACACATGATATAGGGGTTTTCCCCTTGTAGCCCAGAGCTTTGTCCCAGTGAAAGCACTCACCCAGTCTGTCTTGACCTAGCACTCTGCTGCCTGCTACATCAGCAGTGCTTCTTGAGCTGTGCATTTAGATGTCACTGCAAATTAAACATTCAAGTTGCCCACTCAAGTGTTTTGTCTGGAGCCTTACAGGAAGTGGTCACGGTTTTGGGTTGGTTTCTATTGTTTCACAATTTTTTTTTTTGTCTTTATACATACTTTGGGTCTACTTGTATTTTAGTTGTTTTGTATTGATTAGATACTCTTGTCTTTGTAGAGTTGCACCAATTGATCGGCAGATCAGAAACGGTTGGTTTTCAGCATGACTGGCCATGACCGCTTGATCACTCTGAGATTTCCGATTCTGTGCCAGTCAGATTTAGAGAAACGACAGTGCATAGTGTGAGCAGCACATCAAACAAGACTCCTGTCTATACCGAGTGCATGTTCACTTGCACATTTGAAGCACTTAGTGTACAAAAATCACACAGAGGAGCCTAGAGGTGCTGTTGGAGTTAGGGGCTTCTTGTCTTCTCAGCACTCATCAAAGATGACAAGAAGACTAGAAGGGAAGCTTGTTTATAAGTTAGAGCCATTTGAGGTTATAAGTCATTGAAAATGTTCATGTTTCCAAGATCAGGAAGATCTTTTTAAAGTTTTGGTCAATGGCACAGGTAGCAAGTTGCTATAAGGGTACTATCAGTACATTTTACAGTGTTTACATCAGAGAGCAACAACCAAGTTAAAACGGGACATAGAAAAGGTTTAACTTCCATATGTAAATTAATCATTAGCCCAGTATCAGTTAAAACATTTTCCATGTCAGCAGTAAGGAATGTTATCTTGTTGTTTGTGTTCTATATTTTGCTTTTACTCTAGTTTGGTCTTCTGTACTGTGTGATTGATACATATGTGGTCTTGTTTGTATTTTCTGATCTGTTTTGTGTATATGTTAAGATTAAGATTTGTGCTTATCTAATGGTTTTCATCTCTCTCCAGGGGTAGACGGCTTGCACCAGATGCTTAAGGATCAGCTAATACTGGGGCTGACTGACCACATCAAACCGAATGAAACTAGGTCAGACTGAATCAAATTGGGCAGAGCCAGATCAGAACAGGGCAGACCAGACTGATCCATACCATACCGGGCCTGTCCGGGAGGCCTATTCCAGTTTCCTGTCCTGGTAATTCTACATGTGCAGGCTGTTCTCACTCATGTTTCAGAGCGGTGAAGCTGAACCGAGAAAAGCTGCCTACTAATCATATACGTCAGTCTGACTCGTAAGAACTGCTACATGGTGGAATACATAACAAAAAGCAGACTTGAATCTTTGTGCTGCATTTTATTGTAGTTTCTCTGCCATAGTAGCTGGCCCACTAAAGGAGTTTTCCCATTACAGGAACCTACCAAATGTGTCACGCCGAGTAACACTCGTAATGGGTTCTGCCTTTGTTTCCACTATTCTCAGCCTGCTTTGGAGGTGCATTCTGGGAGTTAAATTTCAGCACCCTTCAAATATTGACAGGCAGCCCTTTAACCAAGCAGTGTCCTATAAGGTTTGGCAACCATTAGCTGAATAATTGATTGGTCAATAAATTTTTTTGAAAATAAGTTGATGGTTTAAGTCATTTTTCAAGTCAAAATGATTTGATTGTGCTACTTTCTCAAAAGTGAGAAACTGATGATCTTTGGACTGTTAGTTGGATGAAACAAAACATTTAGTTACCACCCCCACTCAAAAAAGTAGCATGATATTGCCACTACCATGCTTCGTTGTAAGGATGGTATTAGCTGGGTGATTAGGAGTATATGGCGTTCACCAGACATTCTACTTGGTGTTCTACACAAAGTGTTAATTTGTGGTCTCAGCAGACAAGAGAATCTTTGTCCACTTACTGAGTCCTTTAAATAACAGTTGCTAGACTCCAGGCATTCTCTTGTATGCCTTTTACTCAAGGTGGCTTCTGTCTATTCTACCATTCTCCAATCAAGTTCACACCTCAAGATAAATTAAACCTAAAAGAATGTACCTGACCACAGTTTAGAGTGTCATAGGAAAGGATCTCCATACTTTTTATAAGGTTATTTCATTATGGGTTATTGACTGTGGATTAATGGGCAAAATGAGCAATTTTTTCTATTAAAAGCTAAAAGTGCCATGCTACAAAGTTTGCAAAAAGTGAGTTCATGGTCTCTTTAGTAGTTGTCAGTATCTCTGAATGTGATTAATCTGCATAACTGGTCAGATTCATTCAGAAAACACCACAGATTCATTTCAGTACTTCTCTAGGGTGAAGTTGTGAATTTGAGGCCATGTGACACATCATAACCCTGAAAAAGGAAAACTGTTACATAGAGTATTATCTATACATGCAGTTACTATGATGGCAACCTCCACATTTGACCTAGTTGGCATGATGTTTATTGCATGTATCCAGGCAACTTTATCTCTGTGTCTGTTTTCTTTCACAGTTTCTTTCTCTCTCCTTTTTTATCTTTGCACAGTTTCAGAATGGCTCCTCTCTGCTGGATCTGACAGCCAGTAGTCTAAACATGATATTTTTGTGTATTCACAGTTGAGGGCTTAAGGTTGGATGGAAGGAGATGATTTTAGCACAGAGGCTGTGATGAACATCTGTGGTGAGTATGACTTCATAATCTTCTGGTAAATATTTGTGATCCATCCTAAGGAATATTGTATTACTCTCCATTATTAGTGAACCATTTTCTATTTTTTCATTAATTTTTAATCTTTGCTTCTAACAAGTGTTTTGCATTTAGTCATCCCTACTGTGTGTGTTCCCCACTTAGACCGCTCTAGTCCTAACCTTTAACTTACATGGGGATTTCTGGTCACAGCAATCTGCAGTTAACATGACTGACCTTTCACATGTCTTGGTTTTTAGTTAGAAGTGTATTTACATATTTTTAGATGTTTTCTAAAAATACAGAAATTTCTGCTCCAAAACATAAGCCCGTTTCTTACCTGAAGTCAGTTTGATTTGGAAAAGGCACCTGGGAATGATTCGTTTGGATAATAGAGTTGTTTGTCTTTTCTCTGCAGATGACCTGATGGCAGACCAAAGGATGGACATTTCATCTACGATGACTGACTTCATGTCCCCTGGCTCCACTGACCTTATCTCTAGCTCCATCAGCACACCGGGCATGGACTACACCCGCAAGAGGAAGGGCAGCACCACCGACTACCAGTAAGATGATCAGGAGAGAAAAAAGAAAAGCAAAGAGGGGTGAAATAATGACAAGTGAATGATGAAAAATGACACAAAAACAACACATGGCACAAAGCTGGAGAGAAAGAGGAACTAGGGGCCCTGTAAAGCTATGAAGGAAGGAAAGAAAAGAAAGAGGGGAGTGAAAAAGTGAAAGACAAAGAAAGGATGAGAAAAGAAAAATCAAAGTTGACGAAATAATCGCTTTGCTCAATACTTCAATGACGGAAACTGATCAATGAATCTGTGTTTCTTTGCAGAATTGATGGCTTCTCATTTGAGTAAGTTCAAATATGACTCAATGTTAATAGATTTAGTAAAGGTTTAATAAATCAGTCTGAAATACCAATGACCCACAACTGATTTTGCACCATGAAATAATGAGTAGAGTGAAAAACAAACCTACTGAACCCAGTGAACCCATTTCTCAAGTGCTGTACTTATTTCACTATGTTCTCATGTCCTTGAAACTAATATCCCCTGTCTTTTCCTTCTTAGCGACATGGACCCAGACAAAGATAAACTGGGCAGGTAAGACGTCATCTTTACCTTGTGACAAAGCTACTGCGTTCATTCATTCATTAATTTAATCTTTCTTTCAATGAATGCTTGTACCGTCTCTGCTGCTGAAATAATCCAGTTTTCCTTTGAAATCAGTGAATCCCTTAACTTTATGGATGGTTTCACGGTTTCATCACAAGAAACACATTTATTGTACATCTGCTGATATTTAGGAAAGCTGATAGTTTTGGTCTTATTTATCCAAGATCCATCTGTTGGGACCTTTTTGAACAGTAGCCCTTTACACACTGTCATCTCGAGGTGGGGTTGGTGCGCCTTTATTCCGTCTTGTTTTCTGCATGTAAGGCGCAAAGCCTTAATGGTGGGCCATTCTCCCTCTGCCTCTGGTCCACCATGGGAGGTAGTACCGGAGGCGAAACAAAGGGGAGACATGCTCTGTGTAGAAAGGGTGAGCTGGCAGTCTGGAACCAGTTGCTACATTTTGATGATGTAATATGTGCGTGATACTATCACCGTCGTCTCAAGTTTGCACTCCTCTTTGCCTGGAGCTGGTCTTGGCCTCTCTCTAACTTACAGGTCAAAGCATTTCTGATGTCACGAACGCGTTGATTACAGTTATGTCATGACGTTCACACACATAGTAAGAACCATGCTGACCGATTTTGTGTGAAGCAAAATAAATGCTTGAAGAGCGAGCAAAGCTACATCCACACTTATCTCCCCTAACATTGTTGTTTTGGCTTGTAGACTAGCAGCGCAAACTTTATTCAACAGTTGACGCAGAGCTACGTTTGACAATCTGAAACATTACAGTGTGACAAACATGCAAAAAGATAAGAAATCAGTAAGGGGGCAAAAACTTTTTCACACCACTGTACCACTGTAGGCGACCCTTTGGAACAGCAGTAGTGTGAGATCTCAGTGTAAAACCAACTAGTAGTGTCTCTTTCCTGAAAATCTCTTACCTATGCTGCCCTAAGTTGCATACATATAATCAACTTTTGTTTGAAGGAGACTCAATAATTATTGTATAAACACTACCAGTCAAAGTTTTGGACACATTTTCGTAGTCTATATTAATTAAGATTTTAAAAATATTATATAGAAATATTAGGCACCAAAACAGACTGAAATTAAAAATTATTAGTTGCTGTTCTCCAAAGCTAGTGTAAAACCGTGCCAAATTACTCATGCGAATTGGATTTGCTGTGGCGACCCCTAACTGGAGCAGCCGAAAGTAGTAGTAGTAGTATTTCTCCAAAGCTAAGATCAGACTACATGCTGAACTCAAGTTCATTTTTTTTCCCCTCAAAGTGATTCAGATCTGGACCGCTATGTATCAAGCATCTCAATCAGTCCTAGGAGTAGCGCTGAAAGCTAACTTAAGACTAAAAATACTGCTATCTCGGAGTAGACTTAAAATTTAAGCTGGTAATAGGAAATTACACGTTCATTATACGCTGTAATAATATGCTTTATATTAGTCACTCATAATGTGACTAACCTGTGTGAAATTATCTTCATTAGCCCTATTTTTTTCTAATCCCATAATAAAGCTGTATATTCAGGGGAACATAATTATTTTCAAGTAAAAGTTTGAGTCTGCTTTCACTGTCACGAGTCATTTATGCTAAATGCAGTAAATCAGTGATCACGTAGTTCACAACCACCTGTGTTAATGCTGTGGGAACAGTTTCGATTCACAGAGGCATCCTCGTCTGTGCTCGGGGTGATGACTTTAATGTGTGCCCTATCGATGAGTCCAATATGTCCAAGGATACCAACAGTTTGCATGTTTGTAGCTGGGTTTTCACTGATTAACATTGAGTGGTGTGGAAATGAACAAATCGATGTGTCTTCAGCGGAGCTGTAAGAGCGATAGAGGTCTCATTTATAACAGCTGGTGTCAGTGTTGACAGACTCAAATCATCACTGTGCTTTCATCACCTGCTTTGTTAATAAAACGTGTATCTAAAGATGCAATGACTGCAGTTTCAGGGGAGATAGATGTGTTCTTCCTTTTGTTGGAGCAATTGCATCTTGCCAAAGAGATGCCTCAAAATCCATTTCATTTATGGCCAAACTGTATCTTTTAATGAGATCAGCATCATTAAGAGTGAGTAAAACATCTCTCCTCCCGCTGAGTCTGTGTGCTTATCTCTGTCTGAACGCCAACCCCTGGCAACTCCTAACCAGTTAGGACACCCGCTTTACATTTTGGTGGAGATAGAAGCGATTTCCTAAGATAGGAATGTTGATGAATTGCTTTTACTTCTACTCCAAAAAGTAGGACCAAAAATGTGCCATTCTGAGATTTTTTTTTTTACCAGTTAGGAGTGAGTTCCTGCTCTGAGAAGCTTGATAAATACAGGCCCTGATCTTTTCCTGGATGTGAACAAACCAAATCAGATTTTTTTTTCTAATCAGATCTGGGCCACTTCCATATGCCCTCCTAGATCTGATTCATATCTGATCTCTGACCATTCGACTGGTCAAATTTGCAATTCATGTGGATTTTTTTAAAAGTCTGTTTCATCGCATACACGTATGATCTGTCTGTTATCATTCAGTGTCAGCCCCTCACAAACATATTTAAAAATAGGCATTTAGGAGAGCAGCAACAGTGAAGGTGGTCAGTGGGAGACGAGGGCATTTTACTTCTGCTGAACACTTATGCAGAACCTTCTGATCAAGCCAAACTAGAAGGAAAATATTGTTTTTGAGGGAATTGCGCGATTTGCCTTGAAAAAGATCAGATCTAACAAAAAAATTGGAATTGATCTTCAAGGCCTGTGATGTGACAGGCAAGTCTGAGCAGGTTTTTTTTTTCTTTTTTTGAGGATTTTGACATGCTAACTTTCACTTCCTCTGTTGCACCCGACAATATAACATAACCTCTTGTTCATTTAGACTTTTTTCCGATTTTTAGACTAGTTATTGACCATTTTTCTTCAGAAAGGCGTGTCTTATATCTGAATTCATGTCAGATCATTCTTTTTGATTTGTACCATGGTGTGGCAGCTTGATGACGGTCTTTATAGCTGTGGTCATGTTTTCTTAGCTGTTTGGGTCTTTCTGACCATTCGACCTCTGCCACGTTAAGTGTTTAACAATAATTCTTTAAACTGTGTATCAATTGTTGTGGTGATTGATTAACAGAAACTGGCATTCACTCACGCACTAGTCACAGTAATCAAGTATTTATGAACACTTTATGTAGATAAAAGTATTTGCTAAATCTGACTTGGAACACTAGTACAAGCAAACTTCATGGGGAAAAAAGCAACAAGGTGAATAAGTCCTGTTTTTAGAAACAGATGCTGCTGTTGAGTTTTGCACATGTGAGAGAAATTCTGGTAACCTGTGTTGTGTTGGTTTGGTGGCAGAAATCCTGGTGATGGATATAAAACCAAAACTATCTGTTTGGTAAAGTTGTTTTTGGCGGCCTGTTTTAATTTTAGTTTTAGTCTAGTCTTTGTGTGAAGCTGTCATTTTAGTTTTTATTAGTTTTAGTCACATTCGTACTCTTTTTAGTCTAGTCTAGTTTCAGTCAACTGAAGTCTGAGCATTTTAGTCTTATTTTATTTTAATCAGAATTATCCATGACTATTTTCATCTAGTTTTAGTTGACGAAAACTGTATTTTAGTCTCTTTTTAGTAATGCAATTCTATTTAATCCAGTCAATATAGTATAAGTACCTAGTAGTATAGAGGAAACCAAAAGTTTCTTTTAGCCAAACCCATTTCAAACAAGGTTATCTTATTATATTATTGTTACCTTATAGACTCAAGAATACATCCAATACACATTTAGTGTGATTTTGTGGCCACATTTCTCCCCATCTTTTTCTACAACACACTCCGTTTTCTTTTCCATGTCTATGTAATTAAAGTTTTTCCAAATGTCGTTTCTTCTTTTTCTCCCAATAACGAACCCCGGCTAGCCGGCCATCGGTCCCTTTCTCTGTGTCAGACTTAACTTTGTTTGTTGTCGTCTTCTAAATAATACCTTGAGTGGGTCTTAAGGAATTGACGTTGCCTGCATCTGCGCAGTGCGACCAGATGCGGCCCCTGAAGCGAGACACAGGAAAGAGAAATACTGCAAAATAATAATAATAACGTGACTGGACGAGACGAAATAACATTATAACATTTTGTTTCATCTCGTTTTGGTCAACAAAAATGAAGAGACATTTTAGCATAGTTTCTTTTTGTAAACCGAAAGCAACACTACTGTCTGGTCAGATGTCAGACCACTAGAGGGTTTTTTTTTTCTTGTCTAATTTAACAAGAACTGGAACAGTGAGTTGAGCACCCACAAATTATGAACTCTAACATCACGTTAAGAAAATGAAGATATAGTAGATTTCGGTCTGTGCAGGATGGAAATATTTTCAGGGCATAGTGCCAGAGGGCAGGGTAGGACTTCTCTTGATTGCTAAACTTTTACATAACCCCGTGTGTGTGTATGTGTGAGAGAAATAAGGTGAAGACATTTAATGAAAACTACATCATAGTTTGTGTTACCTCAGTCATCAAATTGTACAGTCAAATATAACCCCCGAGCCTTGTTGCATAAACTCTGACACAGTTTAAACCAACAAAAGAGGCTGGTTACAGAACTGGTGAACCTGCTCTCTCTACTTGCAGTTTCCCTTCCGCACTCTTCAAAATACCCCCATTCCATACATTTAAACCTCAAAACTTGACATGTATTTTCCTCTGAAACATTCCCTTTTTTGCCAGCTTCCCCTCTCTAACATTTCTTTATCTTTCCAGTGACCAACAGGGCCGGATTAAGAATGCCAGGTATAAAAACTACTTTCACTTCTCTTTCCTTCCCCCATACCAGCAATATGGGGCAAAATGCATCTAATCAGTGTAAGAGGAGTCTGTTAATGTCTGGTGTCTTTCTTCACAGAGAGGCTCACAGCCAGATAGAGAAGCGTCGCAGGGACAAGATGAACAGCTTCATAGATGAGCTGGCATCACTGGTGCCCACCTGTAATGCCATGTCCCGCAAGCTGGACAAGCTGACAGTGCTGCGCATGGCTGTCCAGCACATGAAGACACTCAGAGGTTAGAACAAGCTAGTAGAAGCTGAGTGTATGAGGGGATAGGGAAGCTCTGGTCAGCATCGTAAACTGCTCGTAAGGATAATTCAGACTGAAGTAAAATTTGATTTGCAAAAAAACAAGAACATGTTTACATAAATATAAAATAACCTGCCAAAACAAGGATAGTGATGGCCTGAAAATAATACAGCCAACATACAGTATTCACATACTGGACATATCTGACCATAGAGCCATGAGGGATGTAGGACTTTTGTTAATGAGAATTGCAGCAATACTGCACTTTGGCACAGCCCACTGCCTGTACTTTAATGATAAAGTAAAATCTAATGTTGATGTGCCTCAAGGCTGCATTATTTCACTTATTTACATTGTATACTGCTGATTGCAGCACTTGTGTGCTACATCAGTTTCTCATGAAATGCTCCGGTGATGCCACTGTACTGTATCCGCTGACTGAGAGTGATGACCCCAGCACTGACCATGTTAAAGTTGATTGGTACGATAAGCGTCTCTTATTGTCACCACAAATATGTATAGCCTAGATATTGATCTTTTACTGTGAGAATCGATCCTAGAACAGGAAAGGCTGGGATCAGAAGTGCTGATATTTCAGGATTGATCCGCATATCACTAGTTTGAGTTCCTCAATTTAAAATCTCTTTTGTACATCAGTTTGTTAAATCAAAATCAGGGTGTGGTTGTGTCAGATCTGTATCTAGACATCATGAAAACATGTATGTATGGTCAGTTTTTGTTCAAGGCTAGTGCTCTGTTTAATTATTTATTGTCGACTGTTTATCATTAAATGTTGTGGTTATTATTTGTCTCTACACTGGAGCTGTCTTGTGTTGCAAAACAAATTTCAGATGTTATCTGATGATAAAATAGTATACTATTATAACCTGATATAAAAGTCACATTTTCACAACAGATAGTTGATTGAAAAGTTAGTCTATAAATTGTATGCTTCATTTCTCAAGCAAAACTACTGTTTTTCGATTTGCATGATAGTAAAGTGGATCTTTGGGTTTTAAGTTGTTGGTGTGTTATGATCACTTTAAGCATCATCTTTGAACAGTTAAAATGCAAAGGCTTGGGACGAGGGCTTGTTTTCAAAAAAGGATGGAAAGCCTGTTTTGCCAGAGGTTTCAGCACCTGAACAGATAAGAAATGATTGATTTGGTATTGGTCAGCAGTCATGTTTGCCATCTAAACATTTGGGGCAATAAAAAGCTTTCTCTAAGTCGGCGTCAAAATCCATCATTGCTTTCTTGAAGTAGCAAAATTAGCTTCTTTCACACAAGGAGGGATGCTGTGAGCTGTGACATGTGCAGGTGCAGTCTGAATATCTACAGGTGTGAGCAATGTGTTCACTGTTGTGTGCAGGTGCAGCCAACCCATACACAGAGGCCAACTACAAGCCTTCATTTCTCTCAGATGATGAACTGAAGCACTTGATACTAAGGGTGAGTGCAGAACCATTAACTAGAGGCTAGGCTACATTATTAAGCGATGATGCTGCTATAGTCAGTATTTTACACCATGCAGTTTATAATACACTTGCTAATTTTATATTCAGACTCTCACACTAGATATTATAGAGCTGAATGACACTATATAATATCGGAAACTTTAGTGAAATGCCCATATGTAATCCCATGTTTCTCTGTGTTTAATAATGCAGGCTGCTGATGGGTTCCTGTTTGTGGTTGGGTGTGATCGTGGCAAGATTCTCTTTGTTTCTGAATCAGTCTACAAGATTCTCAACTACAGCCAAGTATGTTGATAGCTTTTGAGCATTATACAGAATTCAAGTTCACTTCACTGGGAAAGCGTGTCCAGACCCCTGACTGGTAGTGTAAAAGACAGTCCAGTCTGCTGGAAATGAAGGAATGAATGAGTTTCTCTAAATTTTGTCTGGACATGAGCTGATTAAAAAAACGATTTAGTCCTGGCCTTGATGTGACTGCTAAAGCTCATGTCTGAGTCAATTAAGACACCAAGATTTCTGACATGAGCTCTATTCTGCCCATCCAGTGGTTCACTTGCAACCAATAGATGAACTTCCACATCAAACACAGTAATTGAAGGAACATTAATCACAGCGCTGACTTAGAGAATTAAATGTTGCTTGATTTTGTTTGCAGAAATACTTTGTCTAAGCCATTAGTTCTGTTTGTCTACATCATTTTATGCCTTCTGCAGGACTTCTGTGTTCCTGCTCCTCTGACTTCATTTCCACTCTCTCCTTTCTCTTACCCACTATTTCTAGAATGACCTGATAGGACAGAGCTTGTTTGACTACCTTCATCCCAAGGACATCGCCAAGGTCAAAGAGCAGCTCTCATCTTCTGACACGGCCCCACGAGAGAGGCTCATTGATGCTAAAAGTAAACAAGCCCAAACACACATCATCTAGACAATGGATTCTGGTTAATGTTGATCTTGTGTGTTTTCTTCTCTCTATTCTGAGATTGCATCTTAATCTCTTGTGTGAGCAATTCCAGGCAAAACTGTAGCTGTTAGCAATCTCAGGGCCTTGTATGGAACCACTAAAACTATTGATTTTGAATTTCAGCACATGGTGCAATTGTCTGTTGGTTGAACTGAGGTGTTTCAACATGTTCAAACCCATTTGCTACAGCTTTATAGGATTTTTTTTTTCTGTGCTGCAGTTTAATACGATGTTAGCACAGTGATAGAACATTTACACTTAGAATCACACATGCCTGTGTGAGTGTAAGTAAAGATTCCGCTTCTGGTACCAGTAACTGGGATTATACATCACAAAAAAGGATGATTTGATTGATGAAGACCTGGATGAACTCACTGACACTGTGACATTTTGTGAGGACGTGTGTGCCCACGAAGACCTTCTGCTCCTACAAGAACAAAAAGCTCTGGTTCACAGTAAAACTTGGGTACATTCATCATGCCAAAGTGGAGTCCTACACAAGTGGGGACAGGACTCTGTACAGGCAGGCCAGTAACACACTGACAAGGGAGTTCAGACTAGCAAAGAGGAGCTACTCTGAAAAGCTGGAAAACCAATTTTTGGCCAATAACCTCTCATCTGTGTGGAGAAGCCTGAAAATCACAGGCTACAGGAAACAATCCCCCACTGCTGTGGAAGGCCATCAACTGGCAGAGGACCTGAATGTGTTTTACTGTAGGTTTGAGAAGCAGAACTCTCCACTCTCCACACCCCTCACCTTAGACCCAGCAGCTGCTACCCCCAGCACCAGCCCCCCACCTCGAAGATCTCTGAAAAAGATGCATGTGGCCTTTATGAAAAACGAAAGATCAGACTGACACCAGGCCCAGATGGTGTGACCTCCCCCTGTCTGAAAACTTGTGCTGATCAGCTGGACTCCATTTTCACACGGATCTTCAACAGATCACTGGAGCTGTGTGAAGTCCCCTCCTGCTTCAAACGCTCCACCATCATTCCAGTCTCGAAGAAACCCTCCATCAGCGGACCCAAGGACTATAAACCTGTCACCCTGACATCTGTAGTTATGAAGTCCTTTGACTGGTGCTGGCCCATCTGAAGGACATCCTGGACCCCTCTGCAGTTTGCCTACCGAGCAAACAGGTCAGTGTATGATGCAGTCACTGTGGCACTGCATTACATCCTGCAACTAGTTTTGCTTTCGTCAGTGAAAATTATGAATAAATATTGTCGTCAACGAACCTTTATCACGTAACGAAAACGAGACGAGACGCAACAAAAATGCTGGTCATGTGACGATGACTAATTAAATGTATAATGCAATATTGTTGTTTAAAAAACGAGACTAAATGTGGTTTACAAAATAAAAACTATGCTAAAATGTCTCTTCATTTTTGTTGACCAAAACGAGATGAAACAAAATGTTATGTTATTTCGTCTCGTCCAGTCACGTTACTATTATTATTTTGCAGTATTTCTGTTTCCTGTGTCTCGCTTCAGGGGCTGCGTCAGGTCGCACTGCGCAGACGCAGGCGACGTCAGTTCCTTAAGACCCACTCGCGGCATTATTTAGAAGACGACGACAACAAACAAAGTTAAGTCTGACACAGAGAAAGGGACCGATGGCCAGCTAGCCGGGGTACGTCTTTGGGAGGAAAAAGAAGAAATGACATTTGGAAAAACTTTAATTACATAGACATGGAAAAGAAAACGGAGTGTGTTGTGGAAAAAGGTGGGGAGAAATGCGGCCACAAAATCTCACAAAATGTGTATTGGATGTACTCTTGAGTCTATAAGGTAACAATAATATAAGATAACCTTGTTTGAAATGGGTTTGGCTAAAAGAAACTTTTGGTTTCCTCTATACTACTAGGTACTTTTACTATATTGACTGGATTAAATAGAACTGCATTACTAAAAAGAGACAAATACAGTTTTCATTTTAAAACTAGATGAAAATAGTCATGGATAATTCTGATTAAAATAAGACAAATGCTCAGACTTTTAGTTGACTAAAACTTGACTAAAAAGAGTATGAACGTGACTAAAACTAATAAAAACTAATCATCCTCCACTCTAAACTGACCCAGCTTACTGTGCCTACCCCCACCTGTCAGTGGCTGACCAGCTTCCTGACAGGAAGCAGCCGGTGAATCTGGGGGATACCACATCCAGTACCAGGGTTATCACCACAGGCACTCCCCAGGAATGTGTGCTCTCCCAGCTGCCGTTTTCCTTCTACACCAGCGACTGCACCTCGGAGGACCCCTCTGTTACTGTACATTCATATTGATCCAGCAAAACTGCAACTCCCTGCTGTGTTTTAACGCAAGGGGCTGCATTGGTCAGGGGGTTGAGGGGTTGCAGGGGCAGTATTGTAGGGGTGTATGAAGTTGGGACAAGTCCAGGTGAATTGCTTCGTTCACGTTTCCAGCCTTTGGTCTTCCCTTGTATTTTGGTTAGCCATGCTACTAATGTAGCCTACTCTACCTTAGCACCGATTTCTACCACCAGTGTGTCAGCATTAATAGATAAAACCCCATTTAACATCTAGTACCCTATCTGATGAAAACACACAGTGTGCCATTATGGTGCATAAAATTTGACGGTGAATAGTAGTGAATGGTCATGCTAACACGGTAAACAAAAGTTTTGTCACCGTGGGTGTCAACATTCCAATTGTCCCCTGTATGTGATTGGTCAACACAGCTCTTTTGCCAGATGATTTCACCATCCAGTGTGGCAAATGTTAAACCAGACGCAACTTTTTCAATGCACAAGGGTGCCTCATTTTGCCAAACCCCTCTGCTGTACTGGTGCCAGCTGCAGTGAATGCAGTCTCCCACAGAAATTAATGGAGAGGACTGGAACTGAGCATGCTCAAATCAGTGGAGAATGACCGTGGTCTTTAGGAAGCTTTCATTTTTGTAATTTGTCAAAAGGAATTTTCTAAAGCAGAAATGGAAGTCTGATTGAAATAGTACTAAAATCAAATCAAAAGGAAATGGTGCAGAACAGAGGATGGATGACTAGCAATGGCTGAATGCATTTCGTTAATGGAATAACAAGTGTATTGTAAGACTGCACACGGCTGGAGGTGAAGTGGGCATCTTGAAGCACTCAAAATAGATGCTCTGTAAGAATGGATTATTGGAATGTATTTCCCAAATATTTTGGACACCGTAAGAATAATGTTATGATAGCATCTGCACTGGATATTAAAATGGTTCTGTTACAGTTTTTCCTGATTGCTTTGAAGCAGCCGTCAATTGAAACTCCACATTTTCAAAACAGTTAACACACCTGCCTAAACAGTATCACTGATGGCAAAATGACACATTTTGTTTGCAAAAGGCTCTAACCATGCCAAAACATTTTCAATATGCAACAAAAGCAAATTTTGCCTTCAAAAAAATGTAAACCAAAATACAGTAAAATCTATTGTAAGACATAGCCACTTCTCAAACTCGGTCTCTTCTTTCTTGAGAATGGGGCCACATGGCCTCATCCCCATCACATTCAATATCCTCTCTTGCAAGGCACCTAGGGAAAAATCTTCCTGCATGCCTTATCCAACTTTGACATTCCTCTGCACCTATTTGTTGGGCAGCCACAGTCATTGCATTCAGCAAGGGCATTTGCTCATAGGGATGGTGATCATAAACCTTCCACCTCCAAGCACTGAAGAACTCCTCTATGGGATTCAAAAATGGGGAATATGCTGGGAGGAACAGCATCCTCATACGAGGGTGTACTCCAAACCATTCATTGACAATGCTAGAGTGGTGGAACGCCACATTGTCCCAGATAATGATGAAGAGTGGCATGCCAGGCCTCAACAGACCTCTCTCCTCGGGTGGGAACAGCCTCTCATGAAGTGCATTCAGTAATGTCATGAGGCGTTCAGTGTTGTATGGGCCAATCATGGGGATATGGCATAGGACACCATCATTGGAGATGGCAGCACACATGGTTATGTTGGCACCCCTCTGTCCTGGAACTGCGATAGTGGCCCTGTGCCCAATGAGGTTCCTTCCATGTCTTCTCACTTTGCTGAGATTGAACATAAATGAAGACATGATGTGCCTCCTCAACGTCAAGCTTTATTATTCCCTAAGTTAAAAAAAAAAAAAAAAGGCAGACGTCTGCAAACCAGAATGTCGGGTGTTCAATTCCCAGTCTGGCCACGTGTCTAAGGGTCCTTGGACAAGACACTGACGCCCCATAGTCAGTGCAGCTGTACAAAAATAAATTATTATTATTATAGTAATGTTTCCTTACCTCCACAAATTGGCATCTGGCCTCCTTCACAACATCAGAGTTCCTTTGAAATGGAACTCTATAGAGCTGCTTCATGGCCATATGGTTCCTTCTTAGGATGCAGTCAATGGTGGTCAGGCTCTCGTTGTTGATATTTCTAAATGTGCCCTGATCTGTGATCATTGCTTCCCTGATTTCACGCAGCCTTATGGCATTGTTTGCCACAACCATGTTTACAATGGCTGCCTCCTGCTCAGCACTAAAATTGTCCCTCGACCACCAGCGAATGGTAGCCTTTGGATTCTATAAAGAATACATGTAATGGGAATGAGGAAACACATGAAGTATATCACTGAAGATATTTCTCTATCTAATGTACAGCAACATTACCTGTTCTTCTGTCAAAAAATTCTGACAATGGAAGCAACAGTGTTTCTGTTTATAACAGGTTGGACTCTTTGTCCAGCCTCTCTAAGAGAAAGGCCATAATTGATAACGTGACCAATAATAGTTGCCCGAATTTCATCTGAAACTTGAGCCCTTCCAACTACACCTCCACCTCGCACACGGACTCCTCTTCCTCGGACCCCTCTACCTCTTACTCTCACTCTCATCTGCCTTAGACCTCCTCCATCCATGCTGGCAAAGAACAACAAGAACCTGGCCCTTTTTTATCAGGCCTACAGACTGATTGCTAATTGAAGATTTGTGTGAAGCAGTGTCAAACAGGTGCTTTAGTGATTTCACACTGATCTTGGTAGTTTCTAATAGTCAAGAAAAAAGTATAAAAGAAAATGAAATTTAGCTTTGAAAAGCTGCTGCTATGTTATCTGTTGTGTGTACTTGCAGCTGGTCTTCCAGTGAAGACAGACATCACCCCCGGTCCATCTAGACTCTGTTCTGGAGCCAGACGGTCATTCTTCTGCAGGATGAAGTGCAACAGGCCTTCTGTCAAAGTAGAAGATAAAGACTTTCCTTCTACCTGCTCTAAGAAAAAAGGTGCAGTATTTTCTCTTGACATTGTTATTGAATAAAGGTCACTCTAGTCTTTCTCCCACAAGCAGCACTTGAGGAAGCAGCTCCCCACCAGTTTTCATCTCTGAGTGCCAGTCAAGGGCTCTTTATTTTCTTCAGCCTTTACGCCTCACTTTTTCAGTCACCCTGTTATAAAATCAAACACCCTGACTTCCAGGTGTTCCTCTTCGATTTTCAGAGGCACATCCTTATTAGAAGAAGGAATCACACCTCACTTAGCAGCAGAGCATCAGTTACACAACCAAGGAAGTTGTCCTCTTTAAGTGCCTGTGTTTACAGTGGCTTCAGAAAGTCTTCAAACCCCTTGACGTTTTGCACGGTTTAGTGTGGTTCAAGGTCAAAGTGTTTGTCATGTGCACAGTTAGGGTACATGTTTGCCTGTACAATGAAATTCTTACTTTGCCATCCACATGAATGCCACAAAATACAAGTGAAATATAAAGTAGATGAGCAATAACACATCTAAATAGGCAATAAGAAGTAAATAAAAATACAACAAGAACACAATATAATGCAGAGAATATATGCTACGTGGGAGCAGTGAAGTACAGATATTCAGCAGTGCAATTATGCATTTGCAAAATGAGAATGTAAACAGTACAGATGGAATTACATGAGGTAGATCCTGAGTCAGCTGTTTAGGAGTC